GCATGCTGCTCTTGTTGCTGAACTTCGGTTTCTTCTTTGTCCTCAGATAGTTGCTCTTCGTCGAATAAACAAGACCAGTGTAGCTGCTCCAGGGAGATTTCCATCCACGTTTCCTCTGTTTCGACCATGGATAGCCGGACCACTTCCTTCTGATGGCGCAACTGCGTTAGTATTTCTGGGAACACCAACACCTCATGGTGTCGTGACACTGCTGGGTCAAAAGCGAGGAACAAGCCTTTGCAATACGTTACTGATGACGGTGGGGACGGCAGACGGGCACACCTTACCGTTGCCGGATTGCACACGCAATAATAGTTATAACTTTTTCGGAGGAGCAGGAGACCGTTGCAGTGATCCATCACAGAGGACCAGTGGTGCTCAAAGACAGGGTACCGGAAGATGCCGCCCCCGGAGGACCACCTCGCCGCTATAGGTGGGGCGAAAAAGTCAGAGTTGCCATCGCATCCCTTGGTGTTGGTGAATATGCCGGGGAAGGCGTGTGGAGGGAACAGGCGGTGGAAGCAGGCGAGGAGGAGGCCGATGCTGTCCATGGCGGCGCGCCACGTGCGACAGACTCGCCGGGAAACGGCGAGTTCACGGCTTGGGAGCCACCGCAGGATGTGGTGGAGCAGATCATTGTGCATGCTGGCGAAGGCATCGTGGCCGTGCGTCTCATCCATCGATCGGATTCAGGTGGTGGCTAGGATGGGTGGCGGCCGGATTAACGATTAACGATGGACATGGTCGAGGTCGAGGTCACAGTGTGGCAGGTGAGGCGGGACAGGCTTACTAGCTTTCTGGTCCCAAGGCGCACGGGCGTGGGTGCGCGCGAACTGCGGGAGGTTCAGAGGCTGCTGGGCGAGGCGCCGCGCCGTGAAGGCACCGATGAGCGTCGGCTGGTCCATGCTCGGGCGCGCGTGGAGGGGTTGTCCTCCAGTTCGGTCTACGCCCTCTTGCGGTTCGGCGGGGTCACCGTCCCCTTCGCCGCTATGATCTGGGGCACGCGAGTGCCGTCCAGAGTCAAAGTGTGTTCTGCTGGCTGCTGGTTCAGAGACGCATCCACACGCGGGATGTCCTGCTTCGGAAGTGCATCCTTGCTGCCGATGAGGCTGGCTGCCCCCTGTGCCCTACCGTACTCGAGACTGCAGACCACCTGATGTTTGCCTACCCGTTCGCGGCAGGTTTCTGGCACAAAGTGGGGGTGTGCGTGGACGGGGCGTCAGCTTCCAACCTGAACGCCCTAGCTAGGGCGGCAAGAAATGCGGTCGCCTCTGAAAGGGAATTTGTGATGCTGTGCTGCTGGCAGTTATGGAAGCATCGCAACGCCGTGGTCTTCCAGCGGCTGGTGCCGTCCTTGGCCAGGGCCCGTCAGTGCTGCAGAGAGGATGCCGATCTGTGGCGTGTGCGTTTGAAACAAGACCACCGGGCTCATGTCGACACCTGGCTTGTGGCCCTAGCAAACTAGGCTTGTTCCCCCCCTCTCGGGTGGTTTGTACCCCTATTTATCTTGTCTTGTCTGTAAAAGCTCTCTCTCTGTAAAAACTCTGGAGGCATAGCCGCCATGATCAATATATTCAGGTGGGGGAAACTCCC